CTATATGCAACTTCTTTAATGAATATTAATTTAATGCGTTGCTCCACTTATATATAACGTTCACCCACTAGTATTTCATTAATACCCTGTTTAATAGTAAGAATTCCACAACAAGATGGCAGGAGTAACTATAAAATTCATTTTTATAAATTGCATAAATTGTGATTGCCTTCTGTACCTGATTTTGCTTTGTAGCCTTTACCTTAAGCCTTATTATGACTTTTGCGAAAACAAATACTAGGTAGTCAAATAAGAATGCCCAGTAACGTCCTGGCTTAATACTCATGACACCTTATTATTGTCTTTATACATATTTAGAGCACAATGATTGTAAGTTCAGCCTTCTCACCCTTCATTCTTTGATGGATTTTTCTCTAATTAAGCTTCGTTTGAAAGTTAACTTTGCTTAAGATTTACTAACTACTTTTCTGCGTATTAAAGTAGCATATAACCTGTTTGCTGCCTTGTGTAACATTGATTAGGGTCACGCTAAATTCTAACAAGATATTTTCTAAATTTGCACATTATATCTGACTTTTTTTAACTTTATATAATTATTTAACTTTGAATTCAATGCACCAAAGAGACTAACGCACTCAAGGTTCAATTTTTTTAGATTATTTTCCACTTTTCATTACCGCTTGTTAAAATATTCTGTCTAATTCGTCATTATTTACTCATTTATTAATGTCCCGTATTGAGTTATCTATATTGCTGACGGTGCTAGAATCTGTCAACACAAAAATGTATTGAAATAAATTCAGACTTGAATTGTATATTTATTATCAATTCAGATTCTCTTGAACTAGAAGTACATGATTATTCCAAGTTAAGATGTTACACTTAGACAACATGTGCGGCACAACAATGGCAAACCATCCATTACGTATGTTTGGCATCATTTTACTTCTATTGCAAACCAATAGCGTGTAGATAGATACATCGTTTATAGCATGGCATTGCTAGTTAAGCTTTGTACGAATAATGAAAGGAAAAGCCTAAAACACATACGAAGTTTATAAGTTTCTAATATATTATGAGAGGTTTTTGAAAGTCGGGTCACAAGGTTTATCCGAGCCAAGGATCTGAAACGAAATAAATACGCTAAAGCTGTACCACATGTCTCTATTTACGATATCTTATGGGATTCGTGAGTTTTTAAGCCTAGATAGATATGATTCTATGCGGAGTGAAATATCCGTGTTCATACCTAAATACCAATAAATGATTGAAAAAGCTATGGAATTGGCATTGGTAGTCCTATTGTATAAATTAAAAATAGCCCTGGCAACTAGATCTAGGGAGCTAAGAGTCTTTTTGCCTTATAAAATCACAGACTATATTCGTATTTGGAGCCATAGGAATGTGGTTTTAGGCTAGTTTTGGCCTCAATTTATTTATTCTTGTTATGTTGGTATTACCCAAACTGCAGTTCACTCTACAAGAGAACACATTTATGGAATACCAGTTACAGCACCATTCATTGGAAAAATCAGGCCTCCTTTCCAAATTGTACATAATTTTATAAGCAATTTTCGCAGCAAGATGGAGCATAACATGGTTCCTATTAGCCATCTGATTTTTTTCAATCTGGCCGACACACCAACTTCTGAATTTTTCCAAATATTTAATAAATACTTATTATTATTGTTGTGCAGTCAATCTTTCGCACCACTATAGCTTATTTCACGCGATACTCTATGCATTTGATGCATTATATGACCAATATTAGACTCATTACGTAGGCACCTTATCATCATATACCGAGCCTATTCATGTTAGTTAACTCCTCCTTCCTCCACCTTCTATCAAATGAACTCTCTTTATGTAGATTATTTTTTATTAACACTGATGAAGCTCAAATAACTTCTATACTTTTGTGTTTTGCTGGCTTTTTTTTGCTTAGTTGGTTTAGAACGGTTGGCCCGAGCTCTTCGCGCCTGCGTATGAAACTGAGGTTTCGAAGCCCAGTTGGATCCGCAGGATCTTTCAGGAGTCGGATGACAAAGTCGGGCATTCGCATGACTCATGCTAGATCAGCACGTCGGTCACAGAAAATCTTTCGCCTTACTAAAAGCAAAAGGGCTCAGCTAGCTGCTGGTCCTGACCAAGTTTGCTTACCATGTCCCTTCTCACCCTCTTGTTCTTCCATGGTCGCCTCTCCTGCCTCCATTTTGCGTTGTCGCCACTTTTCTCCCACGCCTTCCTGATGTGTCTTAGCCCAAATGTCTTCCGTAATCATTTTATACTTACCAATCGATCTATTGCGTGCATTCGCATGTCTGCATGCCTATTTGTCTTCATAAGTTTCATATTATACTTTTTCAAAAATCGGCTTAGGTTTACAACAAGTTTTGTTTCTAAGTTCCGACCAGCACATTTGTCATATTTACTCTTTAACCGTCAACATAATATTTTTTTAGATAATCGCTTTTGTTTTTTCCATCACTCTTATGGCTACTTTAAATGCATTAATGACTCTTAACATTCTGTCCTTACAAATGCTTCACCGAAATTTTCTTCATTTTTTTTACCTTCGTTCCTTTTTGACTTGTCGATTTTTCTGTCGCTCGTTAGCCTGACTTACTGAGGCGTCTGTGCAGCTTTATCGCCTTTAAGTGTGTTTGAATCTTACAATTCTGTCTGTACTTCTACCCTTTCTCTAACCATAACCTCCATAAGTGCACATATCCTGCATGGAATTGTTGTTGTGTGTCTTTACCTGTTAGAGGCTGGCTTAGTTCACATTTTCTCCACATTCTTACCGATTAGGCCATTGGCGATTTATTTGGTCTTCTTTTCCAACCTCAGCTCTGCTTAAACTTCACAATGTTCTATTTTATAGCAGACTTTTGGTTCTTATTTTCTACTCTTGCTCTGTCCGAAGGAATCGCCCTCTGCGATCCTCTCATAACGCCCAGCTGATCGTTTTGCACTCACTTTGACGGCATTTTTCGTTGCCTGTTCGTTTCGCCACTTTGTGTACATTTTAAGCATGTTCAAGAGCATGCTAGTTGAATTATTCTTTGAGCCCTGATTTTATCATCGCTTTCTTCCTCTCTTTTATCTTATATAAGGGTCTCAAATGTTTATTTTTCTACCCATGAAAATGTAGTGCAAATTTTGTTTGAGGGAGGACGCATAATTTCCATCATACTTGTTCAGTTTCCTTAACTTTGCATTGCCATAGGTGGCTTGATGAGGAACGCTTCTTCGGAGCCTTACTTGGTGCTTGAAGAGGCTCGTAGACTAAATGTGATATGATATTTTTCTTTGAAAGCAAAATGAAGCCTGGACAGCAACAGCTTTTTTCACTCGTACCAATTTATGAGTAACTTTAA